GATCCTGACTGCACTAGTACACTAGCACACATTACCAATCACAGTTCCAAGAAACAAGAGTGTGGGCAGGACGTCAGTTCCGTGAGTACGGCAACAACAACATCAACACTATCCTGAGAACAGCATCCGCAACAGTAGCAGCAGCATCAACAACAGCAACATCCACAGCCGCAGCAACGGCAACAGCAGCAGCAGAAGCAGCAACAACAACAACAGCAGCAGCAACACCAACCACAACAACAGCAACGTCGGCAGTACGAGTAGCAGCAGCAGCAACAACAACAAAATCCACGAAGACGACGACAGCACCAGCACCAGCGCCAGCAGCGGCAGCAGCAGCAACGACAGCAGCAGCAGCTAACCACTGCCGCCGCCGCCGCCGCCGCCACAGCCACCGCCAAAACTACCACCACCAACAACAACAACAATCTCAGCCACTTCCACAACCACTTCCACAGCCACATCCGCAACCACAACCACAACAACGACAACCACAGCAACTAGAGCAACCACAGCCACAACAATCGCAGCCACAACAACAACAGCAACAACGACAGCACCAACCACAACTACAACAACTACGTACAACCACAACAACAGCATCAACAACCACAACAGCAACAGCAACAACACGACGTCTCCGTCTACCTCTACTACACGACTACAACGACGGCGACGAGGACCGCGACTCCTCCTCCTGCTGCTGCTACTGCCACTGCTACTGCTACTGCTACTGCTGCTGCTACTGCTACTGCTACTCCTACTACTACTTCTACTACTACTACTACTACTACTACTACTACTACTACTACTACTACTACTACTACTACTACTACTACTACTACTACTAGCCACCCCCCCCCCGCCTCCCAACTACACTTGTTCCATCCGGGCTGGGCAGTGGTAGCTGCTAGGCGCCTTAACTGCGATAGTTGCAGAAGATGCACGGGCTCAGGCTCCTTATCTGTGACAGCTGCAGAAGTTGCAGAGGCTCAGTTTCCTTAACTGTCACAGCCGGTGAAGTTGCAGGGGCTCAGGCCCCAAAACTGCGACAGCAGCTGGAGTTGCAAGCTCGACGGGGAAGAAACTGATAAACCCCAGGTGGTCGGATAGTACGAAAACGCTGTAAATACCGTGCAAAACCCAGGTGCTGCCAAGAAGGGTTTAACATTTCTAAAACCTGAAGCGCAACATCTTCTAAACATTAAAAACAAAGATGCCAGCTGTACGTGGGAGGGGCTCGCCAACACCCCTACCGCCCAACCTCTGCGTAGGAGGGTCTGTTTTTGAAGTGGTGTGTGTGTGCTGTGTGCGCGCTTGAGTGTGGAAATATTGTTCAGGGTGTCCGCAAAACAGTGTCGTGATCATCCCCGAAGAAGCTTTCCCCCAGCCAATTTCGAGTTTTTTGCAAACAGTTCCAAACAGCAAAGTTTAATACGCATAGTCGAGAAGTAGGGGCTCAGAATATGTAACAAAGTCTGACATCACGAAAGTACCGTAAATACCGAGTTAAACGGCTCTTGTGGTGATACTGCTGGGTGTGTTCGCGTAACACTGTCGTCATCATCCCCCCCCCACCCCCCTGCTGCTCCCGCTACTGCTACTGCTCGTGCTAGTGCTACTGCAACTCCTACTTCCGCTGTTTCTACTGCTCCTGCTACGGCTACTGCGACTACGACTACAGGTTCGAATCACTGGCCGAAGGCCCGGCAAGTTGGAGACCCGGCTGCTGTCCGGTCGGCAGAAGGACGGGAAGGGGCCGGGTATGGAGCCGATGTGAGGTTTCGATCCAGAGCTGGCTCCTGTGCTGCTTGGCTTTCGGAGGACTTGCGAGAAGGCGAGACTGTCGTGAACGTGGTGGAAGGAAAAGTCTTTAAGTGAGCGCAGCGGGGAAGTTGTTCCCTTTCTTGTGGTTCCTTTCGCGACCTCGATTAAGCAAGCTCATGAGTCTATGTGACGAACACCATCAGAAAGGAACCCATTAGCTTATTTTAACCTCGTAGGTCGGCACAGATAGTACAGTCTGCCTCAACAGAAGACAGATACGAAGCTTCGCTTCGTGCGAAATCAGGAATGCCCGCGCTTCGTGTATCATCTGATATGCTCATGATCACATGGGTCAAACCATGCGAATGCTGCAGTCGGAAACCAGAGGGTCGGAGATGTGGGAGGCGAGAGGCAGCCTGTTTTGCCGGCACTTTCTCAATCCTCAGGTGTCTACCGGGCGATGTGCATCCACAGGCAAATTCTGCGTTTTTTTCTTTCATGTGCAACGTTGCGTGATGCTGGTTGGCACAGCCGCCTGAACAATCTAGCATGTGCTGTTCGAAGGAAAGGGGCGAAGGAAGCCCTGACACGGTTGAGGGCACTTCAAAGTCATCCTGCCTTGCCCGGTTCGCTTCGGCCAAAGCTTCAGAGACATGGTGTGGACCTGCCTGGCACTTCCCAGAGCTTTACTCGGCTCTGGGCAGGCACCGCTGAGCAGCGCCTCCTGAGCAAGGAGGAGTTCGAGTCCCTTTCGAAGACCGGATCGTCCCTTGTTTGCAACAGCTCTAAGGTGAGGAACTGAGTGGCAGACATGGTTTCCGGACCTGGCAGACTGCCCTAACCCGTCAATGGCATCCCGGCCCTTTCCCGAGGCTTGCGGTCTCCTACACCCCCAGCGGCGAGGATTTAGAGGAGGTTCGTCGACTGGCGGTTTGGAAATATTTGAATTAAGATCATGCACCCGCCTGTCCCCAATTAGAAGGCACGATCCTGCATGAGCTGTGAGCAAGTGTTGAAGTTTGGGAACATTAGCCTCTGTTACTTCCTTCGCGAGAACCAGGTGGATGTTGGCCTGCCTGCTATGTCCGTGCTCGCCTCCGTCCAGGATCCACCGCCGAGGGCCAGGGCTGGATTCGTAGCATAACTTCGGGGGAGCGTTCTTTCCGAGTACGGACACAGGGCGGTTGGAGAGCTGTACATGTGGCTGATTTCCCGTATTCCGTTGGGGTGAACAAAAGCCTTTTCAGAGTGTGTGGACTTCAAGGTCTTCATTGAACCTCCGTTGGCAGTCTTCGGTTGGAAAGCCAGTGCGCCCAGTACGCGTGATCGGCTCCAGCTTTGCGCTACAGCATCTCATGTTTCGCTGCTCGTGTCTTGTGCTGCGAGCATGTCTCGTTCGTGAGATTTCGCTTGTAGTTCTAAGTACCAATAGGAGGACATTGTTCCTGGTGATCGTGTTGCTACTGTCTCGTAGACGATTCTCTGGCCGAAACTCAAGTTCCCGGACCTCAGATTAATCTAAGCTGGCTTGGCCTTTGCCTGCCTCGCAGCCTGTAGTAAGCTTTCTGGATGCAGCCTGGCCTTCCACTGCCGCGGCCTTGAAGCAGAGCAGGGAAGACGGGGGCAATATGGAACGGCTCACCGGCTGGGGGGTCACTGTCTGTAAACTTTGCAAGGTTGCCTGCGTGGACTTCCAATCAGATAGGCGTCCTTGTCCAGGAGGATGCCACCGGATCTATCTGCAGAGTACCGGGCAGTGCTGTGAAGCCTAGACTTTAGATATCGTTGTGGGTGGACAAAAAGAACATCTCGTTGTGGCTGCATGAGCTTCAAGCAACAGAACATCTGGCAATGCAATGACTGCTGGCCATGAACATCGGCACAGCAGCTCGAGACCCCTGCCGTCCACAACACAACTTCAACCCGAAACCCCCTGCACTGGACACGACCCTGAGCCGAATCCTGAGGCCCGAAACGACTCCCAAATTCGCCGGCACATTCGGCAAATCGTCCTTGCTTCTTCCATCGCCATGGCGTACCCCTGTACGTGCAGCTGCTCCTGTGGCTGGTGCCTGCACTCCAAGATGTAGCTTTTGTCTGTAGGCCATGTTCGCAGAACGCGTCAGAGCTTCACGACTGCTCACTTTTCTCCCGGCTTCTCCCACCTGCAGTGCCACGCCCGCCTCGAGGTACCCCCCGGTCCAGGTGGAAGGCGCTCCCGCGGATGCTTGGTGGAAGGAGGCCGCTCCACTGGGGCTCAGAAATGTGTGCATCGAGTACGAATCACAAAGTGAAAGCAGAGCTACCAACACAGCAAGGTATCTGTCCTACGGGAATCGATCAGCCCTACCAGGAGCGACCCGGGTTCGGGTTCCTGTGCTCCCTGCCCTCAGGCCATCCGCCACGAGACAGAGAATCGCTGGCACCTGGGAATACGCTTTCGCTGCCTGCATGTCCACGCCACATCGCATAAACATTGCTTGGATGCTAATTGCCGGTTAAGTTCTCACTGCTGAGCTGTCGGCTTTCATTTCAGATTCAGATGGATCCCGAGCAGAGGTATGTGCGGCAGCTGCCGGGTGCCTGGGCGGCCACTTTCGGCGGCTCTCAGGTGGTCATGGGTCTTCACTTTAGTCAATCATTCGATGAGAAGAACTGCTCAGGTGGGCGAACTCATCAGGCACCAGGTGGAGCCTGCGTCGGATCGCTCGTTCCGCCCCTTCGGCCGTCGGGTTCTGGCAGAGCCGCGGGAAAGCGAAGAATTCAAGAAGGTCATGACCTGGGTAGACCAGGAGTCTGAGCCGAGAGCGGCACGGCCGGCTCCACTACCGAGCCAGCCCTGCCGGTCCTGCCAGCCCTGTGCCCCCACCACGCTCACAGCAGCACCAGCACCCGTGCCCGCGCCTGCTCCACCCGTCACTCCACACGAGCCCCTGTCGGCGCCAGCCCCGGCGCCAACTGCTACGGCTCCGGCAGGTTTGCCGTCTTCCTTCTCAGCGTACGGCGCAGAGTCGGCCACGCCAACAGCACCCGGAGCGCCAGTGCCGGCGCAAGTGGTGCGACCGCCGATCTCCGAGGTACCGCCTGGGATGCGACTGGAGCCGGTGACCTTTGTGCAGACAACGGAGCCAGTTTCACGGGAAGTTGCAAGCGCGGAAGTACAACCGTCCCCCTCTTTAGTACCTCCGGCCGAAGTGGCAGACGAGAAGGACCGGCTGGATGTGATAACGTGATGGTGTGGTAAGCTCTTGCTTCGATGCTCTATGTACGAGGCCGTAGCAAGGATAGAGATGTCTAGCTCGAGGACTCTGATGGACTGAGTTTGGCATCAGTTTGACAGTGCACAACTTCAGGAGGGGCTCGCCCGGTATTGCTGCAGTTGGGACCCAACATGTTGATTCGTCCTGTATAGACTGGTTTCGCTCCATCGGGTGCCGGCGTTTCTCCAGATGGGTTCCGAATGGTTCGGACTTCGAAAGCACTCAAGACTCAAGAGGCAGAGATGGTTCTGGAGCTGGGAACGCGTCTTCGGAGGTCCGTGTTGCGAGGTCGCTGTGTTCCGTGCGTGACGCGGCATTCGAAAGAGTCTCTTCCTTCTTTCTCGCTTCAACCGAGATCGCCGATTTGCGCTGGAAAGCTCCGCTCTGTAACCGTCCACTGGCTGCTCTTGCTTTTGTCACTTCCTGCCTCCTCCATCGGAACATGCATGGTCCTAGTGTATTTCTTGTGGCGGGCATGAGAGCTTGTGGGTGCTGATGGCAGGTGATGCTGAGGTAAATGTCTTTCCTGAGCTGCAACTCACACTCTATTACCTTTGGTTTTGAGATCTTCCATTGTCCATGTTGAACGGTTGGCACGGGGTGCTGAAGTGCCGCTCACAGGACTCGACGCTGGTTCCGGGAGACTTCCCACTCTCGGGCCTGCCAGCTGCAGCCAGCATGGAGCAGGCGATTTTTCCGCGCTTTTCAATACCTAGCCAAAGTGCATGCAACTCAAGATTTGCTCGGTTTTGGCCAGATGGCATCACGATTACAGTGCTTCTTTCGGCCGAAGCTCCGAGTCTCAGTCGGCTGTGGGGCAGACATCCGAGCAATGCGAAAATTCCAAAGCCAAAGGAAGTTCTAATATGCTTTGAGGCAGCCGCGCAACGCCGAAGCCTCCTACACCCTCCTGCGTGCAGGCCACAAGCGAGGCTCTGGACGCCAAGCGCGGAGTTTTGCAGACTGCCAAGGTGAAGGCAGGATGGCATCCTTTTGGATCTTGTCGCAGTTTTCGGTGACGGTCCACGGGCAGGAAGTATTGTTCGTGAGCCGCCAGGTAAGCTCGGGGCGAAAGGACCGCTCGGCTCCAACACTAAGTCGTCCTGCGGGGTTCAGAGTTCAGAGTTGAAGGGCACTCGTACCAAGGAAAGTAGACGACAGTCTACCCAAAGCTCTGTATAATGCGTACAGCTTGAACACAGCGCTCCGAATGATGTGCTCGTCAAGCGACGTCCTGTGCCCACGAGGAGAGCAGGGAAAAGTCGAAGGGCCGCATGCAGGGTCGGCAGAAAGAGGCCATCCGTGAACCCGGATTGCTTTGCAGCCTTGCGGCGCGTGGTAGACTATCGGCGAAGCTATGCCATGTGCATCTGACTGTGATCCCTGAAGCCCTGTTCTTGATAGGCCGAAGATCAATGGATCAATCGGCAGAAGCCAAAGCCAGGGCCCCGTCAAATAGCAGAGCTTGCAGGGCAAGGGGCATTGGCAAGTAGGCAATAATAACAGTAAGGGCTATGCATGCTACTACTGCTACTACTACTACTGCTGCTACTGCTGCTGCTGCTGCTGCTCCTGCCCCGTGCTCCTGGTCCTGCTCCTACTACCCGTACTCCGACTGCTGCTACTGCTAGTGCTCCTCCTTCGACCGCCAACCTACCTTATCCTACCCCTACCAAAAGTGCTTTTGCACCTTTTGCGCCCTTACCAATGTCAAGGACACTGACGGCGTGTGTTGTCTAGGGCCTAGGGTGCTGGGACCCAGGACACACAACACAGCATTCAATCCATGCAGTCAATGCTACGGCCGACGTTGCATCGTGCCGGGAATCTAGTCTCACTAATTGTGTTTGTCATCTTGGTCAGGGGGACGATTTGAGGGGAAAAACGACGCATCAAATTGGTCATCTTGCTCGGGCAGTAAATGCTACTAAGGGGGCAAGTTGACGCATCATCTAGGTCGTCTTGGTCATTTCGTTCGGGGAGAGAATGGGAGGGGGGGCCAAGATGACGCGTCAACTTGTCAATCTTGGTCATCTTGAACAACTGCACCACTTGCACAGTCACTTGCACCACCTGCACTACTTACACCAGAGTAACAAGTACCACTTGGAGGAATTTAGGTGGTCCTTGGGGGCCAAATCGGTCACAAAGCCAAAACCCCAAGGCTCGGTGGCTGGAGCGTGCTGCGGCAGAGCTCCATGCCGAGTCGCGGTACTCAGGTGGGGCTATGCGCTTCGGTTCTTGGCACTTTTGGCTTCAGCGGAGAAATGGATATTGATATTGTTTGGGTGGTAGGTTCGGTGCCAGGTGCCCTGGCAAACGGAACTCAGCTGACAGTCAAAGAAGCAATAGGAGGAGTGGAGGAAGAGAAGTTCTGACGGTCATCGTGGATGTGTTCGTCGCAGTCGTGGTTCAGCCGCAGCCGTAGAAATCATTTTGCCTCTTGTGATCTGCAGATGGGCGAGTGTCGTTAAAGATATGTGCTGATTCCGAAGACACTCGTTGCGGGACAAAGCGAATGTCATTGATGAGGGCCTGTCGCTCATCAAAGACTGGGAGGGGCCCTCTGGAATCGCACAGTCGCAGAATATCCGGGCAGTGAATGCCTTGCCCACGCAGTTGAGTAGCCGTCCACTAAGTTTCTCATTTACACTGGACATTTCTTCGTACAGTGATCTAGTGCACGCTTTCTACTAGACAGCTGGTCGACGTTGGCAAGTCCCGCACATTTGATGCAGTTCCGGTTTCACAGCTGGGGGCAGCCCACATCCTTAGTTTGATTCGCAGCAACCCACAATGTTGCTCCGATCGACGGCTGGCGTCCTGTGCAACTCATCGGAACTGGGCAGGTGCGAGCTTCGTCCGTACAGCGGCAGAAGGAGGTCCCCGACACATGCTCGGCTGTGGAAGTTCTATAGTAATCACATGTTACCACATCATTCAGTGAAAGATCGCTTCCTTATCGGTACTTACAGACAGACAATGTCCAGAAGTAAGACTATGTCAATATGCATGCTGCAGATTCCAAGCCACCTCCACTGCCACAACCCTATACATCGAGGCACCATTCGAGACTCCTCGGCGTGCCCCGTTTGCGCGTGCTGCAGAGCGCAGCCAGTGGGGAACCCTTGCAGTGCTTTTGCACGTCCGCTTCTGCAAGCTTTTGCAATCGGACCAATTCGTAACGGCGGTGAGAGTGGCTACACATGGGTCTTGCAGTATGTGCAGTTGAATTAAGTAATTGCCTGCAAGGATGAGCAGTCGTAGGCTGCAGCTTCGTAGCTGCAAGGCCGCAACAGTTCCGTCCACCTTCTCGAACTGCTACTGAGCCCCTCACGGCGACGAGCAAAGGCCTATGGGAGGGGATTGGTAGTGGTGAAGTGGTGCGGTGGGTGGTCTATAATTGTTTCTGCCAACCCATGAGGTTTGGTGTAGGATGAACGCCGTCAGAACTAACACGCGATCAATGGCGACCTTATGGTGGGTTTGGAAGTTTAGGCAGCGGTCTGTCACGCGATGAGTGGGGTTGTTTTCAGGGTTGGTGTTTCTTCACCTTCGCAGAGCATGTAGAAGCAACAAGCGCAAATCGCCTCGTTCGGCGAAACTGGCTTCAGTGTCCTATGGCTCCAATCTCACGGGCTGGATTGATGTCATGATGAGCACAAGCTCAGCTGCAGAGCAGGTTCCCAGAATCACCAATTCACTTTTGTGGTTCCCAGGGTGTTCCAATTGTGATAGAACCTGTCTCTCTGTCGTCCCCTCTTGAGAATACCGGAACACACGGCAAACCGTGAGATTTCAGTCTTTGGTGTTGTACCGGGCTGCCTCTCGTTGAGGGATCCACGAAGTTGACAGGCCGCCAGTACGGCCACTCCAAAGTCCAGCGCAGTTCAGCCGAGCACTCAGCCAAGAATCACACCACGAGGGACTTAACCCAGCTTCACGCTATGATGCGACAAGCTGCAACTTCGCGGCAGATGTTGGGCATGTAGCCATTTCAAGCGAGGTGTTGGTGTGGCTTCTGCAGGGAAGCGTCGTTTCAGGATGGCAGCAGAGGGTACTTTGCGTATGTGAAGCACTACTCACAGTCTCACTTCCCACGGGCTGCCACGGCCACACGGCGTAAGTGAAGCAACTTTTCACGGCAGAGCTCGGCCCAGGCACGACAAGAGGGAGGATGTGTCGTTCGGCACTCGATGCCAGTCTGCTCACTGGAGAAGATATTGATAGATGTTGCAGGACGATTGGAGGGGCTTTGAGTATGCGTCTTTGGATGCTTTTCCTCACCAGATTATTTGTTTTCGCGAGCTATGCCTGCTCTTCAGGTGCACAGTGGGGCAATGAAGAGAAGCGGTGCGCCCTTGCACTCCGCATATGCGTAAATGAGGGGTACTGGTGTCTGTATGTAGGTGGTTATGCATGTATGTTGTATGTGGGAGTGATTAGGAATGTACATTTGAATGTATCCTATCTGTCCATCTATCTAGCTGTCTATATGTAGACAAATAGTTCTATGTATGTACGTATGTATGTATGTAGGGTTTGGGATCGAACGGCTCAGTAGCGAGTCGTATTGCCTAGAGCCCCAGTGTGCACAGGCACACGCCCCGCTTTCAGACTGCCCTCCTCGCCATCCTGGCACCGTCGGCTTCGAGCCAAGCGTGCAAAGGCTAGGCGTCGCTTGCATAGTGCAAGGGCCTTGGGAAATCGGCCTTTTGGCCGAGACATCCGTCTGCTGCAAGCACACCACACTGCGCCGCAGTACAGGGAAGCTTTTTCTGACTGCCTTGCGGCTTGTGATATGGGAGGCAAGAAGGCATGGCAGCCACAGGATTGGTCGGACTGGTCGTCTTCCTCTTATGCGCATCGCCAGGGAGCTCCGTGGAAATTGTGGCCCGGAGCCCAACCGACAGCCTCTCCACGCAGCAAGAAGCACTACGATCAGATGCCACTTCCTTCCGATGCCAGTGCCC